AGGGTCCCGTAGAATTAGTCGAGGTGCGCGCAAGTTGGTCCGGACATCCACGGTTATCAAAAAAAAAAATAAACCCAAGAAAGTATACAGCATAGGCCAATGTGTGAAGGGTCACTGTTTTCTCAACTTGAAGACCACAGAAAAAATAATTGTCTGTCTTCATAAATAAAAAAAACCACAGTTCTTGAACTCCAGATCAAACCAGACGGTCGATAAGTGAAAGAGATAAATGGCATCGGCAAATGAGCGTGAGAACTTCGTCTACATCGCCAAGCTTGCAGAGCAAGCCGAACGATATGACGGTTTTGCCTCTTTTCGTCTCCCTAAATCTAATTTGTTTCTAGATCCGGCAGTTCAGCTTTATTTTTATCGTGAAATAGTAAAACCTGGGTTAATTTTTCGGATTGTTGCTTTATTTTGACATTTCAATGACAATGCATCGATTGTATTTTGAAATTCGAAGGTGGTAAAACTAATTTCTTGATCATCTTGTGAAAAGCCTTTTAGATTGAAGTAAGTTTATTCTTTTTCTAGCTTGAGGAAGAACAGTGGATACTCTGCTTCATTTTGTGGAAGTCGAGTTAATCTTATTACTTTGGTGCTATTATTTTTTAAGATTCCTCCATAATTTGGACTTCTAAACCTTTTTTGTTTATATATTTGAGGTAATGGTGGTTCACTAATCAAAAGTATGCTTTTTGATGGTCACACTTTTGAAGAAATAATGGATGATTTATATAAGTTGCTTTTCTTTTCTTTTCTTTTTTGGATTCAATGTTGTAATTAAAATTCATCTTTCTGAGATGCGATCTAAACTCGAGTTTTCAAGCTTGTGGAGCAGTTTTTTTAAATTATCGATGAATTTTTTTGCCTATTTAATTTTTATTCATTTGTAGAAATGGTGGATGCTATGAAGAAGGTAGCAAAACTCGATGTTGAATTGACGGTTGAGGAGCGGAATCTGCTGTCAGTTGGATATAAAAATGTGATCGGATCTCGAAGGGCTTCTTGGAGGATTTTATCATCAATTGAACAAAAGGAAGATGCGAAGGGGAGTGAACAGAATGTAAAGAAAATAAAAGAGTACAGGCAAAAGATAGAATCAGAGTTGTCTAATATTTGCAGCGACATCATGGCTGTAATTGATGAGCATTTGATTCCTTCCTCTTCGGGCAGTGAATCCACCGTGTTTTTCTACAAAATGTGAGTTCTTTTTGCAGATTTATGAACATCACATGCTTGGTGCTCTTTAGGGGTCTATTTTAGCTTGCTTTTTGTTTGAGTTTTTGCATTTGTGAAATTGTCATAGGAAAGGGGATTACTACCGGTATTTGGCAGAGTTTAAGAGTGGCAGTGAAAAAAAGGAGGCTGCTGAAGAATCTCTGAAAGCATATCAGGTATAAAGGATTTCAATTTCTTATTAGGAATTATTGTGTACTTATTCATTGTCATGATGTGTTTATTGTTCATAGACACTCGTACCATATTATTCTATTTTTTTTTTTCTACCAATCACCCTGCAGGAATTAATTTGTGATTTTATTTTATGTAATTTTGGGTTAGTGAAATGTGTTTTCTTTTTCCAAATGTATATAAATTTTGCAGGATGAGGTTCTTCATGGTTATTTGCCTTCTTCATAGTTCATCATACTCGTTCCTCATTGGTTGTTAAATATTGTATTCAAAGCTAGTGGTCTGGTTGAAGAGAAATTTTAGTTAGCAAATGTGGGATAACATTTGATCTAGGGGTATATAAATTGACAATCATATGGTACATGGGATTGATACCTTGCTGGGGAAGGGGATATATCTCTACAAGATAGATTGTTGATGCTGGAGAAGAATTTAATCTTCATGACATTTTGTATCTGCTTCTTTATTTTTGCAGGCTGCCACTACCTCGGCAGAGGCTGATTTAGCACCTACAAATCCCATCCGCTTGGGTTTGGCATTGAACTTCTCTGTTTTCTATTATGAAATCATGAACTCTACAGAAAGGTACACGATTTTTTGACTATCTCAATTGTGTTGATAGATCCTTTCTCTTTTCTGGAAATCCGTATGAAGTGACTCAACGTGTTCCTTTGTTTACAGGGCTTGCCACCTTGCTAAGAAGGCATTTGATGAAGCTATTTCTGAGTTGGATACATTGAGTGAAGAATCTTACAAGGATAGTACATTAATTATGCAGCTTCTTAGGGACAATCTCACCCTTTGGACTTCTGACATTCCAGAGGATGGAGGCAATTTCTCTTCTTATTGCTAAGATTGTGACGCCAATCTTTTAATCTTGAAAAAACTTTTTATTGCCTAGTGTTGTACCTCTTGTTTGGTTAAATTATGAGCAACTATGCCATAAGATGATTTTGTCTGGGAATCATACAGAAGACTTTTATGTGTATGATAAAAATATTAGGCACTTGCAAACGTTTATATTGCTTATAACCTCTATTTGTCTAGTTTCCCTGTCTTCTCCTCGAGGTCATTTTTTCTCATTGATGTTATTCTCATTGCTATCTTGTCGGAAATCACATTTACCATATTTTTACCTTATCCACTACCATCGGTCTTCTATAGGAGAACTTATTAGCTTATCAACTGTGAAACAGTTTGCTGTGTCTTTGAAAAGTTAACCAATATAATATTTGTTTTGAACAACCTTATCTGGTGCCTTTGTTTCATAATTCATTTGTGGAATTTTCCCAAGATTGGGCTTTTCAAATTTGCTGATTGCTTTTGTCGTTATTAGCTTTGTTAATTTGTTTTGCTTTTTTCATCAGACAGAGGACAAAAGGCAGATGGCTCTGTAAAGGCAGGAGGTGAAGACGCAGAGGTGTGTGTTATGTGCTTTTCATGTTTGGCAACTTGGTTTATGATGTCCTTAACTTCTTTGTTATTTCTTTTGTTATTAAGTCATTTCCATTATTGTTACTTGCAGTAATCAAGAATGACTGCAACTTATTTGGATAGACAGCAGCTGATTTGTTATTCACCCTTGGAAGTTGCCTCCTGAATTCTAGGCTAGTTTAAAATCCTGCCCAGAATTCCATTGTTTATTCTCGTTATTATGTGCTTGTCATTGTTCTGATAGTTATTTCACTTGGACGTCATCTCTACTATCCAATGCCAAACTGTGTCTTCTATTTGATGCTGTTGTGACGTTCTTACATTTTCATCTAGTTACTCCGTATCTCAAATGAACCGAACGTAACCGAGTTATTGGGAACAATGTTTAGTTTGTTGTCATCGAGACATTTGGGCGACTTCTCTATGACTTTTGCCCAAGACCATTGAAGGTGAGAGTGGTGGGGACATCGAGTGGAAAAGAAATAATTAGACTGCAGCCACTTTAGTCATTTTCACTAATGGTTAATAAAACGAGTCATCTCAAAAGTTGTAAGAGAATTAAATGACAACAGGGCACATAAAGGCTGTTACCATTTAGTGACAGCAACTTAAAAGAAAAACATTAGGATAAATTATGCTAACGCTCGTGTTCATCTTGGATTTTGATATGGTTACTTGTTCGCTATATCGAAATATGGACAGGGGATTGTAGAGCGAATCCCACCCTTGCGAGGATATCCTCACCAAATCTTTCTCCTTGCACATTTTCTGAGTAGCGTCGAGTCTTGAGGGTTCCAGCCGTCCTTGGTTCAAGGCCATGTTTGAGCTACATTAAAATTTTTATTTTCATTCTTCTATTCATTTTCAACCATACATTCTTCAATAAAATAATATTTTTCATTACATCAATAATTTTTCTTTCTTTTTCAACCGCACATTTTTCATCAATCTACTATTTCAAAATATATTCTTCCAAAATAATGTGGCTCAAACACAATTGTCTTTATTTTTGGCTCGAAATTATTATCATGTTAACCAAACTAAAATCTTTTCTTTATGTTGATTTAGATGAAAAGCTGATTTTGATAAATGGAGTGATGGGTCCTACGAAATAGTAGTGAAAAAAAAAAATGAGTAGTAATTGCGGGTCCTATATGAGTAATAGTTAAAATTATTTATCGACTTTGCCATCAACTTTTAGCAACTTTTCCTAGCAAGTACTTAGATTGAAGAAAGTTATTCCATTTTTCAAAAGAAATCTAGATTTTAATTTAAATCAAAATCAATAATTAATTTTAATAATATATTTCACGGGGTCCACGACTTTTCAATCACACATTTAATAAACTTTTATCAAAATTTACTAGAAATCTAATTTTAATCCCTATATGGGGAAAAGTAATAAATAGCTCAAGGGAAAATAGCAATGAAGGTCCCCAACCTATAGCCTGTGTTATATTTTTGTTCCAACTTTTAAAACATAGCATTTCAGTCACTAACCTTTTGTTTTAGTTACGCCTATGGTCCCAGAATGAAATATCCAAGCGTCTTTTAAATAGTATGTGTTATTTCTAGCAAACAAATAAGTCTAATAAAAGAGAGAGTGAAAGAAAAAGAAAATAAATAATAATAATAATAAACAGTTGTTGGCTTGGGAAAGAAGTGCTTTATTCTGCTGTAGTTTGTATAAATATTATTCGTACAGCACCTCTCTTAGAATGCGATTCTTGTTCGAGTAACCTGTTGATGCTATTGGATCAGATCCCATCCCATCCCATGTTTAGATTTAGGATTCTTCAAGCTGGATCAACCTTAACCCTAGATCAATTACATACACTTCTCTAATTTAAGAAAGATTATTTATGAACTGTTCGTCTCTGTCGAAGCAACCAATGAATACTTAAATATATAATTTTACTGTTCAGAACCCTAATGAGAGTTCTTTTTCACATTAATACAGCTATTCATGGATACTGGATGCATATTTCTCCCTGTTCCACGATTTGATTATTTTTTCAGTAATTTATCGAATATTTATATTAACCAGGACAGCTTGTGTGTACAGCAAGAAGCTAGGCAACGAGCAATAATTTTTTATAAAAGTTTTCATTTCAAGTTTGAATCTACCAGACAAAATAGAAGATGCATGATCGTTATTGAGTTTGACTACTAGAGGTGGTCCTCCTCCTCTTGGACGGAAAAAGATGCTGGAAACCGCCGTGTTCATCCATGTGCCACTCCTCCACAACGGTATCAAACTCAAACTGTTGCACTCCAGAAGCATCAAACAAACAACCCTCGGAAAACCCATCCAGTCCCCGGCACGGTGGCTTAATCTTCCGCCTCCCAGCACCTACAGGGACATTACGGAGAGCCCCACCGGCTGTCCAGTACCTTTGGCAGCCCTTGCAAAAGTGTCTTGGCTGATTGACATTGTAGTTGTTGAAGTAGCAAAACTTAGTTTCCATGCTTTTGCATCTTGGGCATGGTATGATCTTGTCTGGCCTTTT